TTTTATGGTAGCTCAGAAGATGTTATCGCAGCTTGAGAACTGAAATTAAAATATGTATCCTTCAGGTGCAAATCCTGTACTAACAGCTTTACCACTGCTCTGCGGGGGGCTCCATTAATCTCTCACCAGCGAAATTCCTAAGGAAATTAATTCCCTCCAGTTGGGGTTATTCTCAACTGGTCTTTGGGGGCAGAGTAATTGGAATTTAAGAGTCTCTCTTAAAAGAAGGGAACCTTGGCCATTTTGCTTGAGTGGCAGCCCTGTTCGGCACCATGCTTTCTCTTCCCCCAGCTCCCTCCAACATCTCTTTATGTCTCTCCCTTCTCTAAGTAGGGTTTCCGGATTTCTCTACCCATGGGAGGGAACTGGACTTTAGGCTTCATTTCGGCAGACTGGGTGTGGTCCTCTGCAGAATGGCACTGTGCATGCTGAGTAAGATTTGGCCGTAGGAATGCATGACACGTCATTAAGACCTTGTAAAAACATTACCCTGGCTGTTTAGGAGGAGTAAATATCAGCTGTCAGTGTCCCGCCCAGGAAAATATGTCCCCCACCCTCACAAGTTTGCAACACCGTTAAGGGCTGGGAGCTAGCTCAGTCGGCAAGGTGTTTGCTGCTTGCCTTGTAAACCCGAGCATCTATGCTTCATCCCCAGAACCCACTGGAAAAAAGCTGGCTGTGGTAGTGGGCTGGTAATCCCAATGCTGGGGATTGGGAAGACAGACATCGAGATCCCTGGGGTCCAATGACCGGCCAGCCTAACCTACTTGGAGAGTTCCAGGTCATTGAGACTTTGTCTCAAAAAACAAGGTGGACAGCTCCTGAGGGACAACATACACGATTGTCCCCTGGCCTCTACATGAATGAATGTGCACACACATGCACATAGCCCATAGATGACTTGCAGACATGAGATGGAGTTTCTTGGCTGCCTCCTCATTGAAATTTTCTCCTTCCTAGGCAAGGACTTCAGCTCCCTGGCCGGAATCCTGTTCCCATGCTCCAGAAGTACCTCACGGTGACCCAGGGGCAGCTTCACTGTCTCTTCTGCTATGGTGGGAGGGCTGTTCCTGGTCAGGCAAACCCAACAGCACAGGATGGTATCTCATCAGAGGACATTGAAGGTCCAGGTGTCACTGGCTCTCAGGTGGGAATCCCAGCTCCTAAGGAGGCATCAGACACCAGTGAGTGATGTTTATACATGAGATCAGCAGAAGTCAGTGCCGAGAATGAGCCTACAAGGGGGCATGGGTCCAAATCAGCCCCAATCTCCTGCTTTCCCTTTTTGCTTAGATTTGGAGCACTCACCTGTGTAGAGGAAAGCCAAGTGTCTCAGAGTTACTTTTGCGGTGATAAAACACCACAACCAAAGTAACTTAGGGGAGAAAGGGTTTATTTCCCTCGCCGTTTGACATCACTGTTCATCCCTGAAGGAAGCCAGTGAAAGGAAACCGGCGCTGGTGGCTGGCGCTGGTTACCCCGTGGAAAGGTCACGATCACCATGGAACCCAGTGGTACCTTTTAGAGCTTTATTAGGAGTGAAAGGGGGGATGGAGAGAGACAGGCCTGGCCGAGAGGAAACACAGAAAGAGAGGCACGGGGGTGGGGGGGTGGGGGGGTGGGGCATGGCACCTTATAAAAGCCAGGATGTACCTGTGCACACAGGCTCATGCGCAGAGATCACAGTCACGTATGCGACTACGTGACCGACCTCGTAACCATGGGGCATGGATCATGGGGACGTCTAACCCAAATGACTAGGTGGAGATGACTAAGTGTCCTGCCAGGTATGCACGACCCTGGGGCGTAGTTGGAATTCCTATCAATCAGGGCAGGATCTTAAACAGGGCAGGAACCTGGAGGCAGGAGCTGATGCAGAGGCCATAGAGGGATGCTGCTTACTGACTTGCTCATCATGGTTTGCTTAGCCTGCCTTCTTACAAAACCCAGGACCCCCAGTTTGCACATTGGGCTGGGCCCTCCCCCATCAATCACTAATAAAATAAATAAAACAAAATTTTAAAAAAGGGCACTAAGAAAATGCCCCTGAAGCTTGTCTGCAGCTCTGTCTTAAGGAGGCGTTTTCTTAACTGATGTTCCCTCCTCTCAAGTGATTTTAGCCAAGTTGACACAAAACTAGCCAGCACACTAAGTGTGGAGTGTTCCGAACAGCCCCAAACCATCGACTCTGGAAGCGGCCAGTGTTTCCCTGAGGTTGTAGGAAGGAAAGGGCTGGACTTTCCAGAGCAGCGCGAGATGAGGAGAGTTTGCAACAGATAAAGGGAGATCCTGGCATTCTCCTCATGGCTGTGGGTGGGCAGCTTCCTTGGCGGAAAATGGGATGGGAGCAGTGATGGTATACTCTCTATCAGCTGGATCTTGAGGGAGAAACATGCACCCCATGTAACTGCTTTGGGAGGCAGAAAAGTTCTACCCTCCAGTATGGATCCATATACAGCTATAACTTGGGTTCGCTAGCTTCCCAAGATGAAGCTTGGTCCATCCCAAGCTCACTGGTCTTAGATGCTGAAGCCAGCATTTTCTAGGCATGAAGTCACCCGCTGCCCCCTAGGTTTATCAATATTAGCTGTGGTAACTGCAGAAAGGGAAGCTGGAGAGTTCCCCAGGACATTTCCTGCTCTTTCTCCCAAAACGATGAGCCCGTCGGCAGCTGGTATATGCCACTTTCAGCAAATTCCATTTAGAGGGAAAATCAGAATTTGTGAAACTGCTAGATGAGAAGCAGGTGACTCCTTAAAATAATATAACTCTATAACACATCTCCTCCCTGAATTACGATTTTACTCATTTCATGTGACGGAGGCAGTCTGAGCTCTTTGAAGACGGGCAGAAGCAGGCACAGTAGTACAGTAGCTCTCAGGCTTCCTAATGCTGTGACCCCGTAACACAGTTCCTCATGTTGTGGTGACCCCCAAACATAAAATTATTTTATTGCTACTCCATAGCTGTAATTTTTCTATTGTTATGAATCGTAATATCTGAAACACAGGATATCTTATATTCTACCCCAAAGGGGTCATGGCCCACAGGTTGAGAACCATTGAATTAGATGATAAAGGGCCTCCTGTTATCATCCCAGCTCTCATTCTTTGCTAGCATGCTCTCACACTTTGGGGGAACTTTTTGGAGACCCTTTTCTATGCCGTTTTCAGATTTATATGCTTAAAATAGAAATCAGAGCAGGTATTTTATTTTGTATTCTTTTATTAAGGCAGGGTTTCACACTGAAACCCAGGCTCTCTGGAACTTACTGTGTAGCCCAAGCTGACCTCAAACTCTTGAACCTCCTGCCTTAGCCTCCAGAGAGCTGGGATTCCCCACCTGCCCCACCATTCCCTGGAATCCCAGTACTTAGGAGACAGAGGCAAGAGGATTGATCAGGAGATCCCAGCACAGCGAAGCTTGGCTACACAGGAAACTGGAGGCCATTCTGGGCTGCTTGAGAACATTTTTTCAGTAACAATAGTAATACATTTATTATCAACTAGGCAGGGTGTCACATACAAATAATCCCAACATTTGGGAGCCAGAAGCAAGAGGATCATGAGTTCAAGGTCAACCTTGGCTACAGAGTGAGCTCTAGGCCATCAAGGGTTACATGAAAACTTGTTTCAAAATAAACCCAGGGTGGGGCAGATACAGAGATACTGTGTGTACTGTCTCCCAGTGGTAAAGCTTTGTAACCCTGTAATACAATATTCATATTTGATGTGGATGTCTGTGTATGACCGACTGTCTTTCTGAGGTTTCTGTAGGTTCACTGGTACTTGAGACAGGGTTTCTTTGGGTAGCCCTGGCTGTCCTGGAACTTGCTCTGTAGATCATACTGGTCTTAAACTCACAGAGAGCCACCTGTTTCTGCCTCCTGAATGCTGGGATTAAAGGTGTGGGCTACCACCACCAGCTTATGTCTTTCTAGTCTTAGGTTGGGGTTTCTACCACCCTGACAAAAAGCAAAACAGTTTGTCTCGTTGCATTTGGAATACTGTGATTTACATTTTTTAGTAGCTGCATTTCTCAAGGTGTGGCATGCATGCGACATGACTCCTAGGGCTGTTTGTAACCACAGGAGCAGGGTCAATAGAGAACATGAATGAGCCACCACAAGGAACCCTTCTGTATAATTTAAAATGGCCTGGCGAACAAAAGTAAAAAGATGTAAATTTAATTTCCAATACGTCCAAAATAAAATATTATTTCAAACATGTCATCTGCTATTGTTACTCAGGCTGACCTGGAACGCACTGTGCAGCTCAGGCTGGACTCAAACTTAAGGCTTCTTCCTGTCTTAGCATGGGAAAAGGTGTGGAGAAGATTCCAGAGAGTCACTGCCCAGGAAAGGGAGGAGATTTTGTCAGGGCAGCCAGGGAAGGCTTCAAGTAAGAGGGGCATGGAGGCTGGGCCTGGGTGGGAATGTTGCAGGAACTCTGAAAAGGAGCCTAATGATACTTAGAGGAAATGAGGCCATTCAAGACTTGCTGTGCCAAGGCTGCAAAGGGTAGCAGGTGTCTCAGGGCTGTACTGTAGGGTTGATATTGGCATTCAGAGAACTCCAGAGGTGTTTGAGATTCCTCCAGGACTGAGGTACAAGGGCTGTCAGGGTTGTGCTTCAGACACTACTGCTTCCTGTTCTTAGACTTCCCAGTTCATCTTTATGCAGCTTCATTGTGAGATTTCAGCTTGCAAATGTTCTAATCTGACTTCACTAGGATTTACAATACATACACGATCACACCCCTTGCTACTGTAGATTTATGAGCTCCAGAAAAGGTCCTGAGCTACAACAGTCAGGGACCAAGACATCCAGCTAGTTAGTACAGAAACACAAGGCAGGAGGCTTCCACTAGCCGGACTCAGCGCCATGGGTGGCGCCTCCCGGCCCGAGGGCGGGGCGTACAGTGCCGGAGGGCGTGACCTAGTGGACCAGGGGTGTGCCCTGGCCGCAGGGGGCGTGGCTTCCCCGTGCGCAGCCTCCTCGCGCGTCCGTCCCGCCCTATCGAGCCTCCGGCGCTCGACTGCTGGTGTCTGGCGGCGGCAGCATGGCGGCGGGGGCGGCTGAAGCAGCTGAGGCGGCCGCGGCCGTGGCGGAGGTCGGCTCGGCCCGGCAGTTTGAGGAGCTACTGCGCCTCAAAGCCAAGTACGCTGGGCGGCGAGATAGGCCGGGGGACCGGCGGGTGGCGGGCCCGGGCCTCTGGATCCGGGGACGGCCCGCTAGTGCGGCACGTCCGGAGCTGAGCTCGCGGCCCAACGGCGGCCCTGGCCGGGCCTCGGCGGGACCCGCTCCGGGCATGCGAGGGCAGCAGGGCAGCGCGGCGGCCCCCGTGAACAATGGATCCGCTTCCCGGAGACCCGTGTGTGGCGCCTCCTGAAGGACAGACAGGCCTAGCTGGGCGTCCGGGCCTTTCCTGCGTCGCCCGCTGGCCTAGGGAGGGGTCTGCTGCGGCCGGGGGCACGTGCCGCTCGCCTTTGGGCAGGACTTCCAAAGGCCAGTCCCGGGACGCGTAGGAAACGAGGAGCTCGGAGGAGACGTGCACGTGGCTCCCTCCCTGGGATGCTGCCCCAGCCCTGGGCTGCAGAGTAGTGGGGAGTTCCAGGGATGATGACTGCCTGGGATTCCCCCCAACCTGTCCCCGGCCGCTTATCTGCCAGTCACCCGAGGGGCAGGGTTCCTAACCCCACCCTCAGCTTCCTCCTGGGTGAACGGGCCCGGTGTCCCCCGGGTTGTTGGGATGGTTCCGTTAAGGTGCTGCAGTGGTTGGCGTACCGGAAGCTCTCTCCACTAATGTGGGGTTTGGTGTCTTCACGGAGCAGAGTGGGCAGGGTGGGAGGGTGACTGGCTGATTTCTGCTACCCCATGCAGCATGGGGCAGAATTAGAATAGCTCATCCAGAGACAGGCGGTGTCCACCTAGTGCTTAATATAACGAGAAGCCCTTCGGCCATTCTTCAGGCGGAGGCCTTGTGGAGGACGCTGGCAATGGCCTCATGGAGTGATGAGGGCTTGTGTCGACATGCCCTTAAAAGTTTGAACTTAGCATCTGAGAAGATTCTTGTGTGTGTGTGTGTGTGTGTGTGTGTGTGTGTGTGTCACGAGCTTACCTTGTCTTTACATTTCATGTTTTAAATAGGTCTTAGTGGGTAAAAGTTTATATACCATTTGTTCTGCAAGTTCAAGGTCAGCTTGGTCTTCATAGTGAGTTTTAGGTTAGCCAGAGGGATATAGGGAGACCCTGTTTTCAAAAAACCAGGAAACAAACATCCACTCCTACCGGTGGAGGGGGGGCACCCAACAAGAACAGCAACAAAACCCAAACCCGTTTACATGTATTCTTGACACTGGTGTGTATGCCTAAGATGACTCGGGAGATACTGTTCCCTTCTGCAGTGACTGATCTGAATGGGCATCATGGGAAGTGCTGTGTGATACCCTGGGAGGGAGCTTCTTTGTGCGGGTATGGAAGTCATGAAGAATACTAAATAGTCATCTCCACATTATTGCTTCTCAGTTTTAAAATGTGAGGTGGGTTGAAATCTACTTTTATTAATTTTATTCTTTCTTTTATGCATATGGCTGTTTGCCTGCATGTGTGCCTGTGTACCATGTGCGCGCGCAGTGCCTTCAGAGGCCAGAAGAGGGCATTGGATCCTTTGGGAGTGGAGTTACAGACTGTTGTGACGCCCTGTGTGGGTGCTGGGAATCGAACCCAGGTCTTCTGGAAGAGCAATTAGTGCTCTTAATCACGGAGTCATCTACTCCCCGACCCCTTTTTTCTTTCTTTCTTTCTTTCTTTCTTTCTTTCTTTCTTTCTTTCTTTCTTTCTTTCTTTCTTTCTTTCTTTCTTTCTTTCTTTCTTTCTT